CCCTCCCTCCCTCCCTCCCTTCTTTCTTTCTTTCTTTCTTTCTTTCTTTCTTTCTTTCTTTCTTTCTTTCTTTCTTTCTTTCTGTTTTTCAAGACAGGGTTTCTCTGTGTAGCTTTGGCACTTTTCCTGAAACTCACTCTGTAGCCCAGGCTGGCCTCAAACTCACAGAGATCCGCCTGGTTCTGCCTCCCAAGTGCTGGGATTAAAGGCATGTGCCACCACCACCCAGCCAGTCATATATCAATTTACTTTTTTTCTTTCTTTTCTTTTTTCCAGAGCTGAGGACCGAACCCAGGGCCTTGCACTTGCTAGGCAAGTGCTCTACCACTGAGCTAAATCCCTAAACCCATATATCTATTTTCAAAGAAATATGTGCCAAGATTGTACTACTATAAATTTTCTTTATTGTAACATATGTATTGTAACACACACATACACACATACACATGTATGTAAATGGCATTCAGACATTAAGTTTAAGCAAGGCAATGGTTATTGGGGTTTGTATACATGATCACAAATAGTAAAATAAACAAAAAAATCAAACTTCTTAATCACTTCCAAACATAGTAAATTATAATTCTAGTGAAAACTTATTTCTATGCTAATACATTTATTTTTTCTTTTTACTCTTTGACTTTTTTTTCTGAATTTCAAATTACAAATAATCTTTTGTGTTGTCTTCCTTATTAACACCACAATCACATTTCTTGTTTTGGCTACATTTTTATCTTTTAAGGCAGGATACACTTACTAAACAGGTTATACTTCATAATCTTGTGAATGAAAAAGATGTTAGAAACCAAAGAACAAGTAATGGTGCAATTATTCCAGCAAGTCTCATATAATTTCAGGAAATATCACTTTTATAAGGCTGTAATTCTGCCTGGTAAATCCTTTTCATGTCAGGAAGAAAGATGAAATTGTAGGAAATCTATGGTAGTTTGCTGTGTGCATTATACAGTCCATTGCTTGGGGCACTGGATAATCTAATTATTAGACTGGACTTAAATTATATTCTAATATGTATAAAGTATATACACAATTAGTGTGAGTGTATAAAGAAGCTGACCAAGATACTTAAATTATGAGATACAAGTACCCACATGAATTTTCCATGTTTCACTTTTTCCAGAACTTTTATTAAAGTTGTTGAATATATAATTTATTGTTCATTGTAAAGACAATTCTTTTATCTGATGACATACAGTGGCCATGATAATTATTAACGTGGCTTCCACATTTTGGATAAATTCTACCTCTTCCTAAAATGTTTTGTGTCGTGGGTAGCCATTCCAGCTTTGATCTGGAAGTTCCAACTCCCATTGAGCTTCGGTAATTGTCACACCTACAAGGCAGGGCTGAGAGAGGACCCTGAAGAGCCGAGATCTGGATGCACTGGACCCTGGACGCTGGAGGTAGACTGACAGAGTTCTCCAGAGAACAATGCCGGACTGTGCTACACCTTTCCCAGACCCTGTTACCTATCCCTTCACTTGTAAGTTACCCCACAAAATAAACCTCCCTCTTAACTACGGGGAGTGGCCATAATAATTTCACCAATAGTTTTGCTCTGTATTTCTGAGACAATATTTTTGTTATTTCTTCAGTGTCTCATGGATCCCGTTGTTCTAGCAGATCTGGCGATCAGCTTCCCTTAGAACGATGGGAAATTCCAGAAGAGTGAGATGGGAGCCATGCTGATGTAAGAGCTTCTCTAGCACTGGGTTTAGGATTTTTTTCTTCTATCAGAGAATCCTGTTGATAGAGTGTGTAGCTTGACTCTCTGAATGTCTCTGCTGGGCAACACCTTCTAGCTACCCATCACAACTAGTAAGGGGGTGGGGGGGACACATCTCTGCTGAGCAGTTTCCATAAATTGATAATAGACCTTGCTAACCTTTGGGATATTGAATATTTGTTGAAATGTGTTACTGACTTTTTTTTTTTTTTTTTTAGGTTTTAACCAGGAACATTTGTTTCTTAGATTAAACAAGATGTGATAGTTTGTTACAGGCTTCAAGGTAGAAGAAAATATTTGCCCTTTGGGAAAAGGGTGTTTGTCATATTTGAATTTAAAATTCCCCGGATTCTGGTTTGGAGCCCCGCCCCCCCGCCCCGCCCCTTTGGTGGTGTAACATTGGGAGGTGGGGCCTAGAAGGTGGGAACAGGCCACCAGTGCAGGGCCGTAAAAGCTGCACTTGGCCCCAAGTTCTTTCCCTGCTCACAGCTTCCTAAAATATTTTGGTAATATTTTGATGTGAGAGCCTTTGCCACGAGCTCTCACCAAAGTGATCGGAGCACTCTGTGACGCCTTCTCTAGTGATGGCCTGCAATCGTCTGAAACCGTAAGCCAAAGCAAGGCTTTCCTTTCCTACACTGTTTCTGTTGGGTCGGAGACGTGCAGGAAGAGCTGGTAAGGGGTCTGATTTGGCACTTTCATGTGCTGAGCACTTTGACAAGCTAACTTGAAGTGTTCTTTTTAGCTGGAAAATACAGCTGTGGGGTTGCCAAGCAAAGAATCTAAGTGTTGGGAACCAAGGAGGCCATCTTTCTTCCTGTTTTTGATCTTGTATGCTCTGTCTAGTTTGAATTGCAGATTCATGAAGATATATCCCTGCTTTCCAAAACAGACAAAGCTTGGTTTAATTTACTTCCAGTTAATTTTAACCTTGGGTAAATTACATGGACTTTTAGTTATTCATTGGCAGAATGCTAGTATTACTCTGTTCTCAGAGATGTTCTATAGAGTAAAATGTGTGAATAATGTGACTTAATAGGCTCACAGGGAGTAGTTTTCCCTTTGTATTGATGAGAAACTGGTTACAAATAACAAGAGAAGCTCATGTCCCTTGTGTAGAGTGATGTAGTATTTTGTGTGGCTGAAAAAAATCAATAGAGTGTTACTGAACCAAATCCTTCATCACTACAGACCTGGTACTGCTCTCCGAGATCTCTCTCCCTCATAGCATCTCTCCTTGCTTCGTTCCCTCCATCTTACTTCCTGCCTTAAAAAGCAGAAGTTGTGGTTTGAATTGCAATTGTAATTATGATGCAGATCATTAAGGCATAAGGAGAGTGAAAGGTGTAAACATGTGCAGCTCCTACCTATAAATCTTGGACTGGTTTAGAAAACTCTGAGGGCTAGGAATGCAGTTCAGTGGTGGAATGCTGTACCTACCATGCAAGAAGCCCCCAATATATCTCACACACACGTGCACGCACACACGCACATGCACACACACACACAGATATAAAAGCTCAGAAAACTGGGGATTCCTTATTATTGGGAACAAAATTTCTAGTGATTGATGACACTAAGAGATTATTGTAAAGGTATTAGTAATCACAAATATCAATACTCCAATTACAGTTCCTCTATTACAAATGAGCTCATGAAAGGAGGGCTAAAACTATCTTTTTGGTTTTTTATTGGTTTGTTTGAGATAAAGAGATAATAGCACCATTTTAAAGTTGGAACATAACCCACAGGTACTTTGTCATGAAGATGAAAAAAACCTGTTCTCTTCTAACGATACTTACGGTGTAAAATCCATGATGTTGTGTTTATCTAACCCAAACAATTGTTCTGTCTCACTATACTGCATAATTGGAATAATTGGTTAAGTTGAGCACTGGTTAAACTATCTGATAGTGACACATTACAGGGAGAAGTTCTAGTTTGAGTGTGTTGTTTTTTTCTGATGCTTACCAGCAATGTATACTACCACAGTAGCCTTAATGTCCTATAGCTTCTTCTAATAAGAGGCCTTGTAGAAAGATATGTTTCAATTAATCTGTATGTACGTGACACAAACATTACCAAATTCAGTTAAATGATGGTGGGATTCAGATGTTGCATCAGCTCCACAGTTGAACTCATTTCTCATGCCTTGTATCTCAGAACGTCCTAATAGTGCTGAGACTAACGCGTCAAATCACACCATCTGGTCACACCATCCATTTGGTCATCTCCATCCACTGTGGCCTCATTGCTCTTAAGTCTTACATTCACCTCTAAATATTTCCTGTGCACAAGAACTCACGTGCTCTACCTCTGCCTCTCCTTGGCAGTACTCTTGTTCTTACTGCAGTGAAGGCCACATCCTAATTTCTCTCTTCTCCAGAAGGTTTCCGTATTGTCCTCAATTTTGTTGAATCTATCTCTGTGTCTTCTGTACACCTTGTGATTTTTTTACTTTCACAGCCATATCCTGTGGCACCAGTCTCTCTCCACTTTAATTTTCCCTCCACAGACACACATGGACTCTTCCTCAATCTTATTACCGTCTCATTTGTCTGCCTGTTAGGATCTTATAGTATTTAAACAATAGTTTATAAAGTGACAGATACTGAACACTGTAAATTCCCTAAAAAAAAGGTTTACTTCCCTCTGGATGCTCAGGAGTCGTTCCTTAGTGAGCTTTAGAGGCTCTTGTTGGAGGCACTTTGTGGAGTGAAAATCTTTGAAATCAGTAAAATTTTAAAACCTGTCATAACATGCCATTTCTCTCAGGCTGCCTACTCTGGGGTCTTTATTACAACTTAAAACAGAATTTGTCATTTCTAAGATTTGATTTTGCTGTGTTTCAAGGTAGTAAATTAGACAGATGCTGTTTCATCAACCATGCGTCCACACTGATAGCAGATGTGTCTTCTGGGCTGGAAACACTTGTATTGCTTCCTCTTGCCTCTCATTCCTATGGAAGTAGCGCAGGCATCTCAGCTGGAGCCTGTCCACACAACGGCTTGTGCTCTAAGAGTTCAACACCAAACTAGATGCTCGGATGATTTTAGAGGAAGCAGTGAGCAACCCTGCCCTTTATCTTAGCCAAACCTTTATTTCTTAGGGTTGCTTGCTGTAGACTCATCTGTGAGAAATGGCCTGGGCAAAGATTATTGTGGACCACACACTAAGTAATGATGGCACTGGACTTCTTCCAACAGGTCATTTCTGCCCTGAGCTCTCTTTCTAACAACATGGAAGGAAAGAAATCCTGCACATTATGATTTAGAAAACCACCACACAGGTATTTTTATATACTGCTGTCAGACATACAAAATTCAGAACCAGTTCTTTGCAATTGGATACTGTTGCCAACTTCCATTTCTTCCTTAACTAACCCTCATCTATGCTCTCCCAAGTTCTCCATATCTTCTTTAGAGGGTTCTGATCCATTGCAAATCTGCCAGGGACTGTGGTATTATTTTTATGGAAACTTCGGTTATGCACCATCGTCCAAGTCCATATTACTGTTTCTAGAAGTTTCTTTACATGTATCTGTAGTCCTGAGAAGTGACTTGAAGTCTATGTAGTGCTCCTCTCAAACGAGTGCCGCCCACCTGATTTCCTTGCCTTGCCTTGTTTTCCACAACCCCAGAGGCTCTTTGGTAGGAAAAACTGCTTTAGCTTTTTATATTTTAAGGATGTGTTGACCTCAGAATGGAAACCAGGATATGTGTTATGTTGGGGAAGAGGTTTTCCTTTGAGTTCACAGGAGAAGAAAAGCTATGGATACAATTGAGATTCAAAAAGATTAGATTTGAACAGGAGAGACTTCCTGAATAAGAAGTCATAGTACATCAGACGGCTTGGTCGTTCAGTCTAAACTAACTTACTTGTAAAGACTAACATTTGATCAGGTATGAAAAATGAAAATAAAACATAATAACATTTTCAAATGATAATTTACTAAAGGCACACTTACCTTACCCGCATGAAAGAAAAATGGGTTTTCTTAAACCATGTGTCTTAATTCCATGTTAGAATGTTAGACTGTAGATTACCACATGGTCCACACCATCTTAGACATCAGCTTTTGAGTTTTTTCTTCAATAAAAAGATATTTTTGCTGTTTGGTATTAAAAACACAGTTAATGGATTTAAAATGTTTTAAGTAAATTTAAAAGGTTACTGTTAATATTCTGACCCGCCCCTTGGAAACCAATGTTAGTGTTCTGACCCACCCCTTGGTGCCACCCTGTGTCCTGATGTAAAAGCCTCATTTGGGGGAAAGGACCCTCCCCTCCCCCCTCTCTCTTTCTCTTTCTTCTCTCCCTCTTTCCTATCTTCTCTTCGCTTGCTATTATAATAAACCATTTCTGTGTGGATGCAGGCAGCATCTGGGTCATGAATGACTGTCTGCCGTCACCCCACTGCCATACTTTCACGGTGTGGGTCACCCGCCAGCCTGCCACTGCATCTGCCCAGCATGCCAGCATGTTTCCCTGCACATTCGGGATACCCTCAGGGTCTCCCACAAAATATATAACAGTTACTACAGTTCAAACTTGTTTTCCTATATCTTTTGAGAGTTGGAGTGATTTGGAGCTAAGATAAATATTTGAGTAGGGAGGTGGTCGCCTATGCCTTTAATCCCAGCAGAAATAGGCAGACCTCTTTGAGTTAGTTGTTTATAGTCACGCAGAGCAAAGTGGTGGTTGGGCATGCTTTAATCCCACCACCCAGAGACAAAACTCGGATATAGTTCCTATTTGGTATGTTTGCACACTAGAGAAATCACATACTACATTCACAGATTATTATAAAAAGCCCTCTACAGGGTTACTAGAAAGACAGCTAATTTGCAATGGGGACAGGGACAAAGAGCAGCTTTTGTGACTGTTGGTAAGCTTTTCTCCGTGCATGCAACCCTGACCAATATTGAACCAGATGATACCCTAATTATGGATATCATATTTATTGGTGAATTGGCAACTGGGGACCCTTCATAAAGAAAAAAAAATTGCCTGTTGGCTTCTATTGCAAATGCTTTCCATACACAGAGAATAAATATTCTCTCTTTGAGAACAAATTTGGACATTTTCTGAGGCATGGGGAACCTTCTACTCAGTCATTGCCAACCACCCTCTGGTCACAAGGGCACCTTACAATGATGGATTGGTACTGTTTGAAGCCAGAGTCCTTCACAGGCTCAGCCATGGAAGGAAGGCACTACAGTGCAGCTGCTACCTGTCTCAATTCCTTCCTGACCAAAGGGGTCTATGCCTCCCCACACTGAAGAAAAAACTCAGTTTCCCATAATCCCCATCCCTAAACAACTCAGCCCTCCCCCAGAAGAGGCACTGTGGACTATTGGACTGTGAGGACCAACAGAGAGGTCACAGCATTTGATGGTGGGATCAAAGCTATATGGAAAGTGTAGCCTATAGAATAGGGGGTGGATGGCTATTAGTGAGGAAGGAACCACCAACTCAGCACAACACGCTGAAGCAACAGCAGCACTGTTGGCTACAAGACAAACATAAGGAAGGCCAAGGGAAAGTCTCTGTCTTCTCCAGTTCGCAGTGCATGTGCAATGGTACAGCTGTACAGTCATCAAGACAGAAAACCACTGTCAGATTAATGACATCTGGCCACGGGAGGCATGAGTGGGAAGGGCAATACCTAGGAAA